AATAGCACTTTCACTATAAAATCAAAATAAGTATTGTTTTCAACAGTAATAAAAATGTAAAATTCTGCATTAATTTAATCATTTTTACTTTAAAAATGGAAAAGTGAAGGCAAATTGTAAAACATAAAGCAAATGCAAAATAAATTACTAAAGTATTCTACCAGCAGTCTAGACTAATATAAAAATCCAACTTCTTGGCTTAATATTATGACAGATTTAAAAGGATGAACAGTCTGGAATGTGATAAAATGGTGAGATGAATTCCCTCAAAAATTCAGCTATTCATATAAGTATTATTCTAGAATTTTATCAGACCACAAAGTATACTATTTCTGGTAAATATAGGCAACATGGAGCAATCTACTTTTCAGCAGAAACAAAAATCAGTGGCATAATACGGTACTTTTTATTTTTTTAAACTAAGTAAAAAACATAACATATATTTAATTCCAGTAATTGCTTTTTGTTTCTAAAGAATAGTTAGAGCTTGCTATTTTCACTTACATAGTTCTTTTTCAAAGTGTCGGTATGGGGCCTGATCTTAAAAATGGTTACTTGCATGACTAGCCCAATTTACTTCAGAGGTAGTCCTTGCTTAAGTAAGACTTACTCACTCAAGTAAGGGCTTGCAGAATTGAATGCATAGCCTGTAATTCTGGAAAGCATCTCAGCACTCAGAGAAGGTGCTGTACAATCGTTCAATAATGTCTGTCAGATTAATTTTTCTTACAATTAATAACATTTGCTTATCAGCATAGAAAGTGAAGCGTTGGGAAAGGTTACTAGTATTTTTGGTGACTGGCTTTTAAAAAGAATATCAGAAAGAATATCAAATGGCTTTCTTTTCACATTTGTTGGGTTCATTATTTGTGTGTTTGGGAGTTTATTTTAAAAAGTTACTTTCTATACCACTTTTTTTAAAATGCTATTTTGGAAAATCTCTTATTTTTAAAAATAAGATGACTATACCTTGCTCTATAGTTTGAAAAGTATTCTGGATATTTATATTCCCGTTGTTTTATTGGAAGGGAATCCAAAAGGCAGAGTTTTTCTCCAGTCTTTGAGGGGCCCAACATGGAACTCAATGGGAGGCTTGCCATCAATTTCAGTGGGAGCAAGAGTGGGCTTTAATAGTCTAACAGTATTATTGTATTATATTTCATATTTTCAGTCGAGGGGATACACTTGAAATATAAAATGTTGCTTTTCTGGAGTTCTGCATTAGTGTGTCAGGTTGGTTGTACCACTGATGTATTAGAGATCCATGCTGATAATCTGTACAGTGGTTTAGACATCTATTGAAAGCTTATTTCCCTGTATTTCTTAGTTATCACATTCTAAATCACAAAACTGTCTTTAATTTAGAAATAAAATATGTTTTGAAATAACTAGAACACTTTCAAATTTGGATTTAATGATTATTGTACTTTGTCTGAAATAATTATGGGGTTTGCATTTGAGCAATTCATTCTAGATTAGGGAACTGCCAGATTTTAATGGTTGTAGTATGAGTATCCATCACAAATGGCTGAATTCTGTTGTGCAAGATTTGTTCAGAGGAAGACCTCCCTATTGGGGGAAAAATAGTGATATTTAGTTAAAATGTTAATAAGAGAAATAATCAGGTTAGACACTGTTAGGAAGTATCCCACCCTGCTAAATAAATAGGAGAGGGAAGGGAGAAGACCTTTGTCCAAACTCCCCGTATGGAGACGAACACTGGAAAAACTACATACATTCAAAGCTCACAAAGGACTCAATCTGCACTCTTTAATCAGGCAACTCTCCCATAGCACTCAGTGGGTGCTGGGTATGGGCTACATGATCAAGATCCAAGACTGTAAAAACATAAATCTGTATTGTAAATAAAGATTTGTTTGAATTGTTTTGTTCAGAGAAACTTGGGAGAAAAGTGCTACTATAATGTGAGAGCAAAACAAGAACACTGGACTGACATGCTTATTCTTCTAGTCTGTGTGCTTTCCAAAACGTGAAGAGCTTCTTTTCTATAATTACATTGAAAGTAGGTTTTTGTAAGAATAACTTTTTAAATATATTTAATAGTACAGTATTTCAGAATGCCTCTGGCAATACCATTTGCACCCATTTTCCACAACGAATCATGCTGCCATGGTTTATATTGATATTTTACACTAAAATATCAATTTATAAAATGTCATTTTGTATGTATGTTAGCTGGGTGGTGTTTAGTCATAGCTAAGGATTATACCATTGAAGCTAATTAATGTATGAGTGTCAGTATTGCAGGCAAAAGCCCTGAATAATACGGTTTATATTTAAATGTGTTTTACTCAGATATTTTTCAGGAATCAAAATAAGTAAAATAATTATTAATGCTCAAATAAATGTTTTGTTTTCAGATAGCAGAAAAAATTGAACTTTGTATGTAATGTATATACTTAAAAATGTAATATTTCCTCATAAAAATGCAATTATGTGTAAACATATATAGACATTTAAAATGATTGTTAATTAAAAT